CCTCTCCAGCTAGATACGACGATATTTTCCCAAACTACCTGAAGGTTTTTATTTATCTAACTGGAAATATAGTCAGCAATGAATGCTTCTCCAAACTTCGCCTGGGAATTTTTCTACTGGTGCTCTCTTCTCTGAGGATCGCATGGCTATTTACACTAGGAGACATTACATGGGTCTATATCTTTCTCCACCTTCCTGCTTATGCTGTCTGGCTCAATGTTTACCTTTACATACATCGCCTCAAATACATCAACATCCTCACTTCACTAATGAAATGTCATGAATATTATCCAGGTAAAATTTTATATTTTCCTATCTTCAGTTTGAATATTATTTTGGTTATTATCAAACTTTTATATGATTTATCGGGGTATCCAATAATAACCTTTCCTTTATTCGTGACCTATTCATTGCTTTATTTTGAGATAGCATTAATTAATATTCACTTTTATATTTATTCAATTTTACTTAGTTATTTAAAATATATTCTAAGTGCAATAAATAAATCTACAACAGAAAAACGAATCAAAATAGATAAAGGATTGTCTCAATTCAAGGAAATAAAGAAAATATCAGAAAATATTAATGAATATTATATTATTTGCCCTTGTTGGTCTTTATTCTATATATGTTTGTAAATTTTGTCATCATATTTGGTGGTAAAAATTTCCAAATCGGTAAAACACAAAATATATATTTTTTTATTATCGATACAGTTCCAGTATTTATCATTCTTATTATTTTCTTCCTTCAAGGTGAAACCATCAAAAATGCCTCATTTCATTTCAATCAAAATCTAATGTTTGATGTTTCAGATCTGTCAATGCAAAACAAGAAGTTTTTGAAGCGTTGTAGTTTTCAAGATAGAAATATTGTCCTCAATGCTGGTGGATTTATACCACTTACTTTGTCAACTTTTTTCAGCTTTTTTGGCCTCGCTATTTCTTACGGAATTTTTATTTTACAACTTAGATATCGATAGAATTTCCCAGAAAACTAATATTGCAACGAAGGAATATTTTATAATTTATGTGAATTGTACCTTTATTTATAAAAGAATTGACTTACAAGGTGTGTCCAATAAATAATGAGACCGGTCAAAAACAAAGATAAAATTGAATGATAATTTTTTTAAAAAGTCTATTTAAAAAATAGAAAGCTGCAGCTACACTTCGCTATATCACATCACGTGATTTCGCGCGCATTCGATAAATTGTAAGCTTGTAAAAAGAACGCCTTGCATAACAACTTCTAATTTGTAATGGATAGAAAATTCGAACAACGAATTTGTATTAAATTTTGCTACAAAATTGGGATATCGGCTTCAGAAACTTTAGATTTGTTAAAATTGGCATTTGGAAATGAAAATGTAAATAAGCCCACCACATTTAGATGGTTTTCACGATTTAAAAATGGAATGGAATCGGTGAAAGATGAGAAGCGCGTTGGAGGTCCAATTCTGCACAGGAAACCTGAAAAAGTGAGCCAAATTTCTAATTTGATAAAAGAAAATCCACGAATAGGGTTACGGGACATTGAGGAAGAAACAGGGATTTCAAAATCATTAGTTGGATCGATAATTAAAGAAGACTTGCAGTTAAAGAAGACACCTTCAAAATTTGTCCCTAAAATGCTCACAATCCAACAAAAGGAGAATCGCGTTGAAGTTGCCAAAAAAATGCTTGAAATGGTGGAAGAAAACCCTAATTGGAAGGAAAAAGTAATAACTGGAGACGAGATATGGGTTTCCGGGTATGACCCGGTAACAAAACGCCAATCCATGGAATGGAAAGGAAAAGATGAACCAAGAACGAAGAAATCCAGACTTTGCAAGTTTGGTCACGTTCTTCGATATAAAGAGAATTGTGCATTATGAATATCTAGAGGAAGGTCAAAAAATCAATAAGGAGTCTTATTTAAACATTATGATACGTGTATGTGAATCAATTCGTCTGAAAAGAAGTTAAATGTGGTGTTCCAAAAATTGGATTATCCATCATGATAATGCACCACCACACACCGCTACATCTGTACTGACTTATTCGGCTAAACACGGCATCCAAATACTTCAACAACCTCCATCTTCCCCAGACCTAGCTCTAAATGATTTTTTTCTCTTTCCAATACTCAAAATGGCTCTAAAAGGAAGGAGATTTGACACTAGAGAGTCCATCATAGCGGATTCGAAAAAGGTCTTGACGAACATCCCGAAAGATGCCTTTTCTAAAGGTTTTGAATCATGGGAAAAGAGATGGAAATTATGTATAGATGCGGGATGGGACTATTTTTTAAAATACTAATATATTTTTTTAAATCATTCTTATTTTTCTTTATTTTTGACCAGTCTCATTATTTATTGGACACACCTTGTATATTGCCTTTCTATGTTCTCTGAATATTGATTTATGTTAGGTTTGTCTACCAATTGTTAATAAGTTCCTTTTAATTGGAATGTCAATGACTCATTACTACAATAAACCTAAGATTCATTTACACCAATATTCTTTTAGGAATCGAAATTAGTTGAAAAACTCAAGAAAAACAAAAAAAAACGCTAAATATAAAATAGCACAGTCTGGAATATAAGCTAAAGTTTTGAACAATCTTTTTTAAAATAGCCTCTTCTCTAAGAAGGTTACAGATCCCCACAGCTATATAAAAGGTTGTGAATGCGTTGAGAGGCAAATTCCTTTGAAATAAAATATTTGCCTCGCTTATATGTCTACCTTATAGAAACAATTTTATGATAATATTAGAACAATACTAATAAACAATTTAATTTGCATATGAATTCAGAAACCATAAACCAAATTTTCCCTTTATATTTAAAATATATTAGTGTTTATTTTCTATTAAATTCCACAAACCTTTTATTTTTTTTAATTTGTAAACTTCAATATTCTTCATAATTTTACAATTTTTAATATATGTATATAATATTTAATAAACAATATATTGACTTATTTTCTATTTAATATTTATGTTTAAAACAAACGTCTCAATATATTTTAATGAAATTAAATTTCTAAAGAGAGGCCTAAATATATGTTCCATTATAAAATTTATAAACAATTATCAATGTTGTTTTTGAAAAGTTTGGAACCTTTTACAACTAGACCTTTCATCTTCACACTATATTATATTGAAATATCTTCATGCACTGATGAAAATAAAACGATTTTAGCTTTCTTTGGATATTATTTTCTTTATATTTTTATACACACCTGGCTATTTTATGGAAAAGAAATTACTCGTAGGAAGGAAATTGTGTAATGCATACACATATTTTCGTATTTAGATAAGATGCATATATTGAATTTATACATATTTTTATTCTTCCGATATTTCGAGGGGCAATTCTCCTCTCTTTTTTGAGGATGTTTGTTTTTTTCACTGAAACACTTGAGCACGCGTGCACCACTCTCATTCTACAAGGCCAATGAAAGAATTTTATCTGTGATTTAAATATTACATTTTGTATATACATAATATATATATAATACAAAGGGGGATCAATAAATAAGGTGAATTATCTTATTTCTTAAAAATTAAAAAAGCTAAAATAATTTAAACCACAGAATATCAATATATAACATCGAGAGACTATTTAAGGTGTTCTGTTCTTTTTCCCACGCGCGGCGCGAGACTTTTAAATAAACTGAAATGGAAGCTCCCTTGAAGGATTGCACCACGCTTGAACAACGTGTAGTTATTCGTTTATTGAATGCAGAAGGTATTCAAACATCTCAAATATGCCAAAGAATTAAAATTATCTATGGTGAGTCTTGTTTGTCTTAAAAAAAAACATTTATAAATGGGTTAACGAATTCAAAAATGGAATAATTACATGTTCCTCATGTCTCAACGTTCGGCCGGTAAAGTTTTGTTAACAATATTTTGGGATGTTGATGGACCAATCTGTCTTGATTTTTTATCTTCAAGGCAACGTATGAACAGCGACCTTTATTGTGACATTCTTGTAAACAAGCTAAAGCCCGGTATAACAAACAAAGGAAGAGGGAAGCTAAGTAAAGGCGTTCGCTTCATTCATGATAATGCAAGGCCGCATACATCATGTAAAACTGTATCTACAATCATTAAATTAGGTTTGGAAGTTTTAGAACATCCTGCATATAGTCCAGACCTAGCCCCCTCTGACTATTTCCTTTTTGGACCACTAAAGACGGAGTTAAAAGGAAAGCGATTTGACTCGGAAGAAGATGTCCAGAAAGTGGTGCAATATTTTTTTCACACGCTTCCTAAGAGTGCCTATAAAGAGGGTATTTACAAGTTGCCAGAACGATGGAGACGATGTATAGAAAGCCAAGGTGAATATTTTGAATAAATCAAGTCCTAATTTTTAATATCGTTCTTTTTTTTTTATAAATTATAATTCACCTTATTTATTGATCCCACCTTGTATTTAGCTGTATAAAACTAAATATATATAATTATATATAATATTATAGATAAACATTGATATTATACACCGGTGTCCAAAATTAAGGTAACAAACATTTAATATTGGTTTTCTAAAAATATATATAATTGTTTTGAACGAAATTTTTGGTGGATAAACCAAATTAAAACAAATAAAGAAAGTTGACAAAATAAATTTATTGTTTTGCCATTTTTTCTACAGAGTTATACAAATTTATGTTAATTATCCCAAATATCAGGTAAATGACTAATATTTGATGAATTAATAGGGTGTGTGATCGCCCCCAACAGCTAAATAACTATCACAACGATATTTCATGCTGTTTATTAGACAATTAAAGAGCTTTTGAGGCAACAAATCCTACTCTTCAATCAAAACCGTTTCCAGTTCTTGGGTGTTCCTGGGTTGGGGTGAACGAGATCCAATTCGTCTCCCCAAGGCATCCCAAACATGCTATATAGAATTGAGGTCTGGTGAACAAGGGCACGACCTTACCCCTAAAAAACTAACATAGGGCTCCAGCATCGCGTCTCTGTACCGCTGAGAAGTCAGGGTGCCGCTATCAAACACATAATAATGGGGTTCGAACCCACGCCCTTACTAGAGGACCAGAACTTAAGTCTGGCACCTTAAACCACTCGGCCAATCTGACACGAATGCAGAGCCTCCATCTAAATTGATGTAATTTTTGTGTTTAAATTAATATCTAATAATCTTATTATACGAGGGTTGTCCGTTAAATAATTTCCACAGAGGTTTTTCATACAGAAAAACAGGTTTATTTGCCCTGAACTATATATTTTCGAAAATATCAGACTTTTTTCATTTTTCTACATATTCCCCGTTTCGTTCTACGCATTTTTGCATTCGGTACACCCACTTATGGAACCCAGAGTCGAAGAACTCTGCCGCCTGGCCACGTAGAAGCCTAAAACCGCTTCTTCCAACTCGTCATCGTCCTGGAATTGGGTTCCCCCCAGGTTTTTCTTCAACTCGGGGAAGAAATGGAAGTCACTAGGAGCTACGTTCGGGCTGTAAGGTGGGTGTGACACCAATTCCCATTCAAATTCTTCGATGAGGGCGGTGGTTTGACGGGCGGTGTGCGGCCGAGCGTTGTCGTGGTGAAAACGCACCCCTTTGGTTAACATCCCTCTCCTCTTGTTCTGAATCGCGCGTCGAAGTTGTTTTAAGGTCTTACAGTACAGGTCGGAATTGATTGTTGTACCCAGACGCATAAAGTCGCACAACAATAGGCCCTTTCGGTCCCAAAAGACGGTAGCCATAAGTTTCCCGGCAGAAAGTGTTTGTTTAAACTTTAGAGGTTTCAGCGAAGAAATGTGATTCCACTGCTTGGATTGCTCCTTTGTCTCCGGTGTGGTGTAGTGTACCCATGTCACATCACCAGTAACGATCGAATCCAAAAATTCCTCTCCGTCAGTTTTGGGGCAATCGAGAAATTTCTGGGCCACATAAACCCGCTGCCGTTTATGGTCTTCAGTCAGCATTTTCGGAACCCATATTGCGCAGACCTTTGAATACCCTAAATGTTCACGCAAAATCTTGTCGATGGTGGTTTTACTGACATCAGGAACCAAATCGCAGAGCTTCCGCACAGTAACCCGTCGATCTTCAAGCATTGCCGCTTCGACTTTGGCAATGGTTTCGTCCGAAACCGATGGCCGTCCAGCACGCGGTTCATCGTGGACGTCTGTTCGGCTGTTTTTAAATTCTCTGACCCATCTGCGCACCATCCCGGAACTCATACACCCTTCTCCATACACTTGACAGAGTTCAGTATGAATGTCCTTCGCCGAATTCTTCTTTGCGGCCAAAAATCGAATTACTGACCGTAATTTGCAGCTGGCGGGAGACACGAGGGGAAGCTCCATCAATAACGGCTGCTCAGCCAAGACTAAGCTTACCAGCGACGTGTCCTTGGTGGGAAATTGGAGTGAGGAGAACAAGCTACGAGCCCGTGCAGTCGGCTCGAGCCTAAAAGCGATCCTCACGACAGTGGTGCCCCGTGGAACTTATTTAACGGACAACCCTCGTATATGAACCGGGGGGGAAAAGCCCTGGTTTTCCCCAAGTGGAATTTTACCGGAATGTATATGGAGTGTATATGGGAACCACAAATTATATTTAAATCTTAAATAATATTTTATATCACACCTTATCATATTGAAATTTTATAATACTAGCGGATGTACCTGGCTTCGCCTGGATTTCAATCGGGGGAAATTTGACCTAACGAATATTTGATAAAAAAATATTTTCCAAGCAAATATCCTCTTTCTGCTGAATCAGTAGAGTGGATATTTGCTCATGATTTTTTTATTTAGAATTTTTATAAATATATATATGTAAATGTCGCAATATTATCGTTGCGAAGTTTTTTGTTGTTGGTTGAGAATGGGGTTGATTGTTGATAGCGCAGTCGTTTCAGAGGAAAGTGAAGCATACAGGGGAAAATAAACCAGGATACTTGATGGGGTTGAAATAAGGCAACTGATCGGAGGAAAGAAAGGCTTTGAGAAGGTGGAGCGGATTGACTATTGGCTATCTATTCACATCGCGGTGATTGACTTAGCTGAAAGGATGAATGGGGAGGGATCTCTAGAGTAGGTGTTACCTTGGTGGGAGCTAGCTAACTACTCGATGGTGTCCAGCCGATGACTGACAATTCTCGGTTCTCGATTTAACACGAAAACTATTCTTCCTTCTCATTGGTTGACCTGTGTGACGTGGAGGTTCCCTATAGGTCCTCCACTAATGAGCTGCTCCCTGATTGGTCTACGTTACGCCTTTGTCTTTGGACATGTTTCAGCTTGACCAGGAAGTGACAGTTTGTTGAACTCGAACTTTTACGAGTTCCGCGATAATAAAAACTGGTAATGATCATCTTTCTCTAGGCCTTCTTTCCTCCAGATATTGTTAAGCCTTGTTGCTTTATTGAAATTCAAATCATACATTTTCATACATATTGGATTGGGTTGGCATCTAGCTATGTACAAATTATGACAGATGCGCCCCCTACATGTGAAGAATTTATGAAGGGGTTTTAGTCTGAATAAATTCTGTAAAGCAAAGAAAATAATTTTGTGTGAAAATTAATTGGTTATAGGGAGGTTATATACAACATTGATAAGGATATAAGAAATAAAAAAGTGGTATCAATGCTATATAGTTTGTTTATAGTTAATAGAAATCAAAAATTGTAATGGTGAATCATAAGTTGAGTACTATGGTACATAGTGAAAAAGGAAAAATTGCCTAATTACATTTTTTGCTCGAGATTGGGAAGGAAATCGAGGAAATTTCATGAGGTATTTTTAGAAATCAAAAATAAAAATAAAAATAAAAATAGTTGACTGAAATCAAAGTGAAGGCGTGGTTGAAAAAGAAAAAATGCTTTGTTGCATTGGTGAAAAAGAAATATGCCTAATTACTTTTTTGCTCGAGTTTGGGAAAGAAAACGAGGAAATTTCATGAGGTCTTTTGAGAAATCAAAAAATAAAGTTGAATGAAATCAAAGTGAAGGCGTGGTTAAAAAGAAAAATGCCTTGTTGTGTGATGGGAGAAAACAAGTTTGCTTTGTTGTATTGGTGAAAAAAGGAAAAGAAAAATGCCTATTTACTTTTTTGCTCGAGTTTGGGAAAGAAAACGAGGAAATTTCATGAGGTCTTTTGAGAAATCAAAAAATAAAGTTGAATGAAATCAAAGTGAAGCCGTGGTTGCAGAAGATGTTAGAAAGGTTTTAGGGTTTTATATTATTTTATAAATTAATACATACGATTTTAGTAATTGAAAATAGTTTATTTATGCAAAACTATATCTTACATTTATTTACAAGTAATAATATATAAGAATAGTGAGGAGTGATAACTATGCAAATATTAATGATGATATACCACAGAATATTTAAAATAATTATTCAGTGACAATATTATATAAAATATTAAAGTCTAAAATTGAATTCATATATTCAACACTCCTTCTTGAATTCATGTTTTAGAGTTTTAATTACTCTATCAAAACATCATCTGCAGCAGTGAAGATCTGTGTTTTTCAAAAGTTTCCTTTGGCAGAGGCTTGGTTAGGATATCAGCAACTTGGTCTTGGGTTGGGCAAAACTGAACATCAACATTTTCTCTTATCTGATCTTTCAAAAAATGATATCGAACATCTATATGTTTTGTCTTTCTGTTCATTTGTCCTGTCTTCATTAAAGTCATTGCACTTTGGTTGTCAATATTTAGTTTAGCAAGTATGGTTTATTTGTAAGTTCTTCAATAAGTGCTTTTATATAAATGAGTTCTTTCACACATTCAGCTGCAGCAATATATTCTGCCTCAGTAGTGGATAAGGCTACAATTGGTTGTTTTCTTGAACTCCAGCTTATTGGTCCTTTACCAAACAAAATTGTATATCCGGATGTACTTTTTCTTGTTTTCATGTCTCCAGCAAAGTCTGAGTCACAATATGCATTAAGTTCCATATCTTCATCTTGTTTACTATAGTGAAGTCCAAAAGTTTTGGTTTGTTTCAAATATCTCATAGTTCTTTTAACATTTTGTATATCCTGGTTTGTTGGTTCATGCATCGAACGACTTTCATAACCAAGTCCTTTTTGTTCATTTCCTCTAGCAACAAGTCTTGCTTTATAATGTCCACCATCCTTTATCTTGAATATCCATCTAGAACTGAGTATTTTCTTTCCTTTAACTTCTTCAGCATTTACAAAATCCCAGGTTTCATTTTTCTTCAATGAATCTTTTTCTTCCTGTATTGCTTTTACCCAGTTTTCTTTGTCTACTCCGGTTACAGCTTCATTGTATGTTAACAATCCTATTTTTTCAGAAACAGAATTCAACACTTCATAATCTTTTAGTCTTTCAGGTCTATTGATATTTTCTCTATTCCTTAACATATATCTTGAATTGGTCGAGTTCTGTGGTTTATCATGGGTATCCAATTCCATTTTAGTGTCTTGACTTTCCTCTATTTCAGAATCCAAATCTTCTCTGTATCTTGGCTGAATGACACTGGTCATTTCATTTGTTAGTTTTCCTGTAAACACCACATCTCTTGCAATTATAATCCTTCTTTTCTGCTTGTCCCACAATCTGTATCCATTTCCACTGTATCCGATAAGTGAATATTTTTCACTTTTACTATCCAATTTTTTTAGGGTTCCCAATTTTTTGACATACACTTCACTCCCGAATAATTTTACATTAGAAAGATTAGGCTTTCTTCCAAACCACATGTGCTGGTGTTGTTTGTACTGTATTTGAAGGGCTTCTGTTGATTAAATAGGCAGCGACTCTTGTGGCCTCTCCCCACATTTCCTTATTTAATTTGGAATCCAGCAAAAGTGCTCTGGTTTTTTCAATCAGAGTTCGATTCAACCTTTCTGCTTTTCCATTCAATTGTGGAGTATATGGAATTGTAAAATCAAGTATTATTACTTTCATTTTGCACCATTCTTTAACTTGCGTATTGGCATATTCACCGCCATTATCACACCTTAATTTTGACACTTTCGCATTTAAAAATCTTTCTACTTCATTTACATATTCTTTAATATATTCTTTTGCTTCATATTTATTGCTGAGCAAATACACATAACAGAAATGTGTATAATCATCCA